ACCATGGCATGAAAAGTGGCGTACGCAAGTTTCTGGGCTCAAATTGTTCGTACGCAAGCTTTGTAAATCCGACCCCAGGGCCTGTCCCACTGGGGGGAGACCCAGAGAAAGACCCAGGACACACTGGAGGGACCATGTTTCTCGGCTGGCCTGGGAATGCCTTGAGATTCCTCCAGAGGAGCTGGTCCAAGTGGCTGGGGAGAGAGTAGTCTGGGTCTCTGCTTAGGCTGCTGCCCCCACGACCCGATCCCAGATACGTGGAAGAAAATGGATGGTTGGATGGATGGATGGATGGATGGATGGATGGATGGACGGATGGATGGATGGATGGATGGATGGTTGGATGGATGGATGGATGGATGGATGGATGGATGGTTGGATGGATGGATGGATGGATGGATGGATGGATGGATACCAAGTTGGTGTTTTGTGTCATCTTTGTTAGTCCTTCAGGAATAAATCTGTTGATTATTTCTGCAGTCATTCACTGACATCTGCTTTGTTATCAAACCAAACAAACTGAATTAACTCATTGGTTCAATATTTTTTAAAATAACAACAAAGTTGTTGTTTTGCGTCATCTTTAATATTCACCCAGCAGTAAATCTGTTTGTTGATTAATCCTGCGGTCGCTCCTTGTTGGTCACTTGCTTTCCACATATTTAAAATAAATCTTTATTCCACCATAGAAAGTCAGGGAGGAGACATTAGACCAGATCCAGCAACAGGGACCATGATGCAGGCTCTTCTCAGGTAAATAATCAGTGTGTGAATGTGTGTGTGCATGGGTGAATGTCTGTAGTGTGAAGCGCTTTGAGTGTCCTGGATGGATAGAAAGGAGCTATATAAGTACAGTCCATTTAAAGACAGATTATAAATTATTCCAAGGGGAAACCAGGCAGGTATCAGGACAAAGTTTTCACAGATATTTCAGAAGTACTCTCATTTACACACCAAAATATTTTTTATTATTGTTTCTACTTTGGTCCAAAATAAATCTAGAACTGATAACATGTTTAATATAGTTAACAAATAGATGATTGATTGCCAAAAACCGTCATGAATGTTTGTGTAGTTTCTACACATATTAAGACATTTTTGTTTATTATTTAATCACTTTTAGATATTGTTTTACTATTGACTATATTTGTGTTCCTAATGGCAGCAGGTACAGGTCATGCCATTTTTGTTGATTTTGATTAGTTTTGCACATCCGTGCAGTCACATTTGACTAAAAATATTGATGTGTTTAGTGTTGTGTCACTTTCTATGTTTATGCCATTTAATTAAATCATGTGGCTTTTACCCTGTTACCTGACTTTGTTTGCCACATGATCTGGCTACATTTTGGCAGCTGAAATTTTAGGTTTTGTTAGTAGGTGTGTGTGTGTGTGTGTGTGTGTGTGTGTGTGTGTGTGTGTGTGTGTGTGTGTGTGTGTG